TATGATGTCAAAATTACGAATCCCAACTTAATTTAAAACTAAGCTGTTTACAGTTTGATCCATGGATTGTACCATGTGGTCATGGGCTGGGCTTGGGTCTATCCAATTAAATATGGGCTGGATCTGGATTTTGAAATACCCGGCCCAGCCCGGCCCATGCGGAACCCTATTATCAGATTTATTGGATTTATCAGATTTATCAGACTTGCTGTTGCCTTTGCCGCCACTACCATTAGTAGCACCAAAGTCTTGGGTCCAGTAATTTCCAACACGACCAAAACCAGCATCCTTGAAAGATGGGTTGAGGATGTTGGCTCTGTGACCATCTGAATTCATCCAACTAAACGACAAAAATGATAATAAAGAAGAATTAATAAAAAAAAGGGTTGAAGTAAATAAATAAAAATTGAATAAATATAATACATACCCTTGCATAACAGAATCTTCATCGCTATAACCTTCTGCTACGCTTTCACCAGCACAAGTATAAGAGTAACCATGTTTTTCGAATCTGGTACCCAAGCTCCCGGCAGGATCATCATGAGTAAGTTGGTTAGCGCTTGACATGTATTTACTGTGATCTTCAGCTACTTTACAAAGAGCACTGAATTAAGTTTATTTATAATTTAAAGTGATACAAAAATAATAAAGGTTAATAAGATATTATATGGTAACCAAATTAAACTTAGCCGGATAAGTATTTGTATATAAGCAAATCCAGAATGGAATTGATATGATTATAATAAACTAAAAATAAATAAATTTTAAGACTTACTCATTATGACTAAGAGCTGGAGCACCGACCTTGGCACGCTCTTTATTGCATAAGTCAAGCATTTTCTTAACATCCATACGTAGTACGTACGTAAGCGCTTGCATTTAAATGGCAAATATGACGACGGTGTTGAATAAATACAAAGAAGCTTTCATAATAATTTATTAAATTTAGGGTTGTAGTAACCAAAACAATCAGGACAGATCTAAAAAAAAAAGATCTCACTGAACTTAGGTTGCCTAGTTTCGGGTTCTGTAAGTGCTGGGCACGCTGCTATTAAAACATAGTGGTAGGCATGGGCACGGGCTCTATGTTTAATAGTACCGTGCCTGGTACTTGCAAAACCTAATAGTAAGATGCCATGAGAATGTTGTAAGTCATTTTTATGCCGTCAAATTGAATCCTTACGTGACTTATAGGTCTTCTTGTCGCGGCTGATACTGAAATTTGAACCTATTTTGATATGAAATTTTAAAAAATTTGGACGGTGGTTTTTTTTCGCTTTTTTTAGGGTTGGGTTAGGATTTTGGGCTAGAATTGATAAATAATGTATATATGTGGGTTTTAGCTGGACTTCTATTTTAAAATCGAGACCCAAATTTCAGAATCTGCCGCGACATTTCTTAATATGACAATATACGTAGAGTGTCCAGAATTATGCGGTGCATAAATTTGCTACTAAAAAATATTTTGCCTATTGTTTCCATAAGATAAATGGGTGAGTTCACAACAAAACCATGCTTAGAGAAGTTCTAACCGAAATTGTGATTTTTACTGGATTATATTCCTAA